TTATTCCACTAATTTTTTTAAAGCAAGTATAAAACTAATTTCAATTTTGCTATAAAACTACATTAATAAATTGTTTCATTCAATTTCCTGGCATGCATCTGGTGTTGTACTTATGCTAAAAGCAAAAGCCCCACCCACCACCTCCACTAAAATATATATAATACACTGGATATATAATATTGATGTAGATAATACACACCACACAGTAGCAAAGCAGAATCTATTAATATCAACGTTCCATCGCAGAGGCGAGTTAAGTTGATGTAAGGTAAAGTTTAACTTTAGTTATGTACGTAACTTACAGCATTGTTGAAGCTAGACATTCACAAATCATGTTTCCACCAGTTTCATCCCCTTCAGGTCATAAAGAATAGTCTACAGCATCCATGAAATAGAATTGTAGACATCAGGCGTTGTGGAGAGCCCTTTGAGGACATTTTTCGTGTCTCTTTCTCTGAGCTGGATACGTTGGGAGAAAAGCAAGACCCAAAAAACAAAAATAGCAGAACCAAATTCCTTCAGAGGACCAGTGTTTCCCCTCTATCAAGTCTTTGCTCACAATCCTCTCAGTACAGAGCTCAGCTAAGGAAGAATTCTCTTTGACAAACCACCGTTTCCAGCTTCTGGGTTTTAAACCCTAAATCTATATTCAAATCTGGCTGAAGGTGTGTACAGGGATTTATAAAAGCCTCTTAAAGGGGTAAATTTACTAAACCGTGACAAAATCATAGCAGTCTTACTTTAGACCTCTGAAGTGGATGAGAATTTTAAAGAGACACTTGTTTATTTAGGTAACTGTCCACTCCTGCATGATTTTATTGACCGCAAGATTATAACAAAGTTATTAAGCTGGGGGGACAGAGGCGAGTCAGAGGCGAGTCAGTGACTTACACCCTCCTCTCGCATCATCAAATACACTAGCTGATCCCAAAACCACAGATCTCCTATTGTTTATACAATGGTGGTTATATCTCCCCTAAATATCCCTTTTTCTAAGGGGGGCAAATATTTGCCTGTAGTACAAAGCACCTGTAAAATCCCGTGTTTCTAAAAAAATATTTGCTTCTCATATTTGCTACCATGTATTAACCCCCCCCAAAAAAAAAACCAACACATTTGTACTTTTTTTTTATCTAAATTAATTAATGCATGTCATTCTAAAAGAAACATAGTTCACATTTTAAAAAAACAGATTGGTAAATCAGTGCGTCTCTAATGCGTTAATCGGAACCACCATCAACAGTGCAGGTTTTCCTGATTTGTTATTAAAATCGCCGGCAACATAATAGAAATACTTTTTATTTGAAGCTGTTACTAATTATCAAATCTTTGCTCCTACCTGAAAGTCTGGAATACATGCACTGCTGACGAGTAAACCAAAACCCAAGTAGAAATGCACTGTAAACTGTGCTGGCAAGATTAACCCCTTTAGTTATCATGCAATAATTATTGTGTATGCTGCAGTTGCTTTTCTTTTTTGAAAAACTATATAAATCAATAATATAATGTTAGAAATATTTTGGTTTAAGCAAAATAAAACAAAGTAAAATGCTGTATGTAGTATGTATTCATTGCGTACATGACAAAGATTGTCTCTATTGTATCAATGCTACATAATCCTGTAATCATTTTAGAAATAAAAAAATGAACATATATATATATATTAATATATATATGTATATGCGTGTGTGTGTGTGTAAAACACATATAGCATTATTTACAGACATACACGCACACAGATGTATGTATGCAAATTTAAACCACAATCAGTAGTTGTATAAATGCTTGCTTTGTATATATAGTGTCATTGGAGCTGTTATTTGTTGCCTGATTGTCCTTCGGGAGCAACAGTGGCCTGCTTCCCTCCCCCTGTTGTGCATTGTGTTTTTTTTATTTCCCTTCCTTCCATAATTTTTTTCTCCCTCTGGCTTAGAAGTGTCAATCACGTCCCTTCTGCCATTGGCTGGAGAGTTTGCGTCAAAAAGTTGCCAGTGAGGCGCCTCGTCTGCAAATGTTCATGAGAGAGGGACAGACCTGGAGCTCTAAGCAAGACTCGAGCATTTTGCAAGTCTAGCACAAGATCCTCCTCCTGCTACCCCTTTGTATGTGTCTGAAGAGGGATATCACATCTTTAAGCTTCTAGGTTGCTCCTAGTCATCCCAGGAAGGCTGAGGACTCAGTTTTTCCCTATAACCTACTTATTTCAATTTTATTTCAGGATAAAGACCAGTAACCATAGCCAAACACTTCGTGGCAATCCCAGGTAAGTCTTTGACACCTTTTATTTATTACTAATATGATACTGATGCTGATTATATGTGCTGATGACTGTGTACTGATTATCAGCGAGGCTTATCCCAAACGAAAGGTAACTGCTGCTCCCCTACAAGCTGCAAGTTGTTAAGCTATTAGCTTAATTAGCAAAGGAATAGCTCAGATAGAGCCAGTAGGAGCTCAGCACAAAATTTGTGTATGTATACAATAAATAGCTGGCTGCTTTTGTCATTTTAGACAATGCATTTCGATGGCTCGATGCAACATCTCTAAAAGTACCTAAAACAATGCAGAATAGGCATTTAAGCTAATGGAACTCCATTTATTTTTAAATAAACTAAAATCAGTGTCTTCATTCAGGAAAAACACAAACAGTACTAACCAGATAATTGAGGAGGCGGGGAGTTCCATCCCCTGTCGTCTCTCCCTCTCTCTTTATTCACTGTGAATTGAAGGGCAATTTTTTTTTTCACAGGAGCACAAGGTGGTTTAAAAAATAAGGCTGGGATGTTGAAAATTCATAATGTTCCCATGTTGACAAACTGAGAATTTCAATGCAAAAATAATTGCCCTTAAAACACTGCACTCTCAATTATTTAAAAAAAAAATTCTGCCCAGAATCTGATCAATAGGTTGAGCCAGAAACATCAAAGATTTGGCCAGGGGCAGCAAACTCACGACAAAGTCATTAGTACAATAAACTGTTTTATTTGTTATTTTGCAGTGCACACAGTTTTTTTTTAAACTCCTGTAAAATATTTTGGATGAATTATTATAACAAAGATTGATACATTTGAGTGTGTATCACCAACAGATGTTACCTTCAACAGCAGATGTTGTGAGTTAATTAAACAACAGATAATTAAACACAAAGTGCTACAATGTTACGTTAGCATAACGTTTATTTTGAAACCAGAATAATCACAAAACAAATGACATCCTGTTTTATATATATATAAATCTAAATATGTAAATAATAAAACTTGCTGATTTATAATAACATTATCATAAATATTTAAAGAGAAAAGGTAACATTTAAAAAAAGTCACTGAAATAGTTTTTGTAAGTTTCAGTTGCTAAAATTCAGGATAGTTCTGTTCTGAAAATAAAGTTTAACATACTTAGTTAAAAATGATCTATGTCACTGATTAATGCATAACTGTCGATTATAACCATCTGTGTAGTTAAAAGTTAGTACACATTGCCTATTAGCATAACAATAAAAAATATAAACACTGCTACAATGTAATGCAAAAACAACAAAAACCAATGACACCAATTATAGACTGTAGCATAGTTTTTGTCAGTAATTAAGGACACAATCGATAAAACGGTAGCAAAATAATTGTCTCTCCCCCTTCAAAATTGTTTGATGGTGGTGAAGTCCCCTGCACTTACACTATAGAAAGTTTTTAATTCTTTTTTCGTAATCATACAAAAAGGCACATTAGTGTATATGTGTTTTGTTTTATGGCTATCAAGCAGAAAATTAATCAGCACCAATGCTTTGCAGGGCTGAGCATAGCGTTGTGTAATTAGAGGACTTGTGCCACTCAGATTATCTTGTTAATTTATCATGAAAACATTTATTATAATTAATTATTGGGCAAAGCAATTATTACTTGAGCGGGTGTAGAGCAACTGGTTAAGAGGAAATAACGACAGACTATAGTTCTTGTGCAGCCGTTTGCTGAACTTTATATATATATAAAACAGTGTGAATGGAAACAATCCAGACAAATATTATTACGTCTTGTAATAGTAATTTCTCAATTATGCTATTTTAAAGGAGGATTTTCAGGCACTATTATCTGTAAATTTACGCAAGACTTGTCCAAAAAAATTGTTTGGAGAAATACCTCAAATCAACTGTTTTGAAACTTTGGTATTTTGATGATTAACTATCCCAAAATGCACAATCTCTTACATTAGATATGATGTGGCCCTAACTTATTCTTGTTCACCTGAAATTGAAAACTTCCTACTTCTTTGGCACAGGAAAATGTTTATTTTAAAAAAGTGTTAACAGTAGAGAAATCCAGGTTGTGTATTTTTGGCTATAATGATATTAGCTTGCCTCTCCCTGTGTACCCATGCAAGTTAGGAATGTCTGTGTCCATGATTGTTTTTTAATTGGAACTTAAAGAGCTGTTTGTTTAACTTTGTCTTTTTTACACGTATAATCAACATTTTTTTAGGACACCAATAAATCAGTCACTTACCTCAAAATCTAATTAGGACATCTACTAATTAGGTGAAAATGGATGATGGGGCTACCAGAGAAGATTGATCTTGTTCAAGTTAGATTTTGTGTATTGCAAAGTTGCTACTGCACGAAAAAACAGGCTTACCCCAAACGGTGCTTGTAACAAAATGCACTGGGATAATTAAAATGAATGCATTTTCTAATAGCCGAGCAGACTGAGCAGAGATTGGTTTCCTGAATTGTGTCTTTGTTTCTGGTGAAAAAAAGCTTTTGTTTTCACCCATTATTTATTTAGCCAAGGAGTCCTTTGTCTCTGCAAATGGCCCCAATCAAGTTTTGTTTGAGACAATTAGGGAGTGTTAGCCAATGAATCTTATGCAAATGGGCAGACTTGGGTGCGCGTTGCAAGCAATTCAACACCTGGTTTTGTCTCGCAGGAAGGCGTGTTTGTATGGCCATGGGGTGTTACTCTTTTTTTTTGGGACACATTTATCTAGTCAGCATCCCCTTGGTCCACAGGGCAGCTGGGGGTCTCAGAGTCCTTTAAGAGCATAAGCAATTGACTAGTGAACTTCACATGCTAACAAGCCACCATAGGTAAAGGACCTGCCCCCGGTACTCTCTGTTAATCAGTACATTTCCATTGACTTGTAGAAAAATTGATTTGAAGCAAAGATTGTGCCAAGAAGTCCTAGACTGCCTCAAACATTCACCACGATTCTGGATTGCTTTGCCGTGTGCTCTCCACGCCAAAACATTAGCATGATGTCTTATCTCAAGCAACCACCTTACGCAGTCAATGGACTGAGCCTAACCACCTCTGGGATGGATCTGTTACATCCGTCCGTGGGATATCCTGGTAAGTAATACTTTAACTATACCTGGTTTTTAAAGCTGTGTAGGAAGCTTTTTAAGGTTATTAGAACAGATTTCCACCACACTGTTATAGATTTTCTGTGCTGAGTTTGAGGATCAATTTAATGACACATTTTACTCTACTAACTACAGCACCAAAAGTACCAGCATTTAAACCATTCCCTTACTGTACTGAGTTTAATTGTTATGTGTTTGTTTTCTAAGTACATCTACTTCCTATACATGTGTTCATTATATATAATCACCTCTCATTTTATGTATGTATTGTCTAGTAATTATACATTTAGTTACTAAAGAAGATAGTGGTATTACTATGAAATTTATTTGTTATGCATATCACTGTTGATATATGTTATGTAATAGCTAATGCAACTTATTTTCAAATATTTGCATGCAATCTTATAGTTATTTTATTTATTCATGTTTGATACACTTTATGCCACTCAGTAAAAACAACATAATGACACCTTGCTGTGGTTTCAGCTACCCCCAGAAAGCAAAGGAGGGAGAGGACCACGTTCACCCGGGCACAGCTTGATATCCTTGAAGCACTTTTTGCCAAAACTCGTTATCCTGACATCTTTATGAGAGAGGAGGTGGCTTTAAAGATTAATCTACCAGAGTCCCGAGTACAGGTGAGACACAATTCCCCATTTCCTAGAGATGTTCTAATGATTGAGTGGTTCACAGACACTTCTTCATTTATTTCCACTTATTTTTAAAGGATGATCAGTGTGATCTATTGTAAAGTGAAGACATCCTTCAGTTTTTAAAGCAGAGATTTGCAGTCACCTGAGGCACAATGCTTTCATTCTCTTATAGACAGTTTTATCACAGCTGTGCAAAGTTTAATTGTCCCCTGCCTTAGGAGTGACCTCTAATGAAATGATTTTATTTTTAAATCAAGGTTTGGTTCAAAAATCGTCGAGCAAAATGCCGCCAACAGCAGCAACAGCAGCAAAATGGAGGTCAGAACAAAGTCAGGCCTGCTAAGAAGAAGACCTCTCCAGCCAGGGAGGTCAGCTCAGAGAGCGGTACCAGTGGTCAGTTCACCCCTCCGTGCAGTACCTCTGTGCCAGTGATCTCCAGCAGTACAGCTCCTGTGTCTATCTGGAGCCCTGCCTCCATCTCTCCTCTTTCTGATCCTCTTTCAACATCCTCCTCTTGTATGCAGAGATCCTATCCCATGACCTATACGCAGGCTTCAGGCTACGGCCAAGGATATGCAGGATCAACATCTTACTTCGGTGGAATGGACTGTGGATCTTATTTGACCCCTATGCACCATCAGCTCCCTGCACCTGGTGCTACACTAAGTCCAATGGGCACCAATGCAGTAACCAGCCACCTCAACCAATCTCCAGCCTCCTTGTCCACTCAAGCCTATGGGGCCTCAAGCTTGGGCTTCAACTCCACTGCTGATTGCTTGGATTACAAAGACCAAACAGCCTCTTGGAAGCTAAACTTCAATGCTGACTGCTTGGATTATAAGGACCAGACCTCATCTTGGAAGTTCCAGGTTTTGTGAAGCCCATTTTAGCAAGTGTGGAACTTTTTCTTGGTGACAATTACATTTGGACATTCCAGATCCTCGCCAGGTCTTTGGCTAAAGAAGACAAAAGACATTGTTTTTCTTGTCCACGATTCCCCTTGCTGGCAAGTACTGGAGTGGATCTCAACAAACTTCTTATGAAAAAAAAAATAAAGACACCTATTTATGTCTTGATACAGTTGTGATCAACATAGTTGTTAGCAAAGTGTTGGATAAAAGTTTGAAATGAAGTCCATTCTAGCTCAGGCAGTTACTTAAGTCCAGGCTCAGGGGGCTTGTCTACACCCAGAGCGGTGCCCAGTGTTAGCCAACTTTTGGGTCTACCAATGGAATGGCCACATGACTACTAGATGGCACTGAACATTTCAGGGCTGAGTGAATTTGTGCGTTACTGATTGTCATAGATGCACTACTTTATTTAAAGAAACAAAATAATAATAATAATGTTTATAAGGAGTCATTATGTAGTTTTTAAAAAGACAATCAGTGTGTGTCTTCTATCAATGGTAAATCTGTGGGTTTTTTTTGTTTTTTTTTTTAATCTGTGCTAGACGTTAAAGCTGTGATCTCCTGTATTATATGCAACCATGAGCTCCAAAACACAAGGGGTTCTGCTGTGATTCAATAGATTATAAGTAACATTCCCAATTCAGTGAAACCCTATTTATCATTTCAAAAAGAGTGTCTTTGTCATGGATGAACTGAAAAGAAAGTTTGTTTATTCTTAAATATTTCCCTCAAGGTATAATCGGATATCAAATTGGAAAAAAAATATGGATTCCGGCTAATAAAAAAAAATATCAGCTTCTTTATAACATAACAGACTTTGGTTAATATTTGACCCTATTAGATTGTGGAAAATCATTGGCATTTATTCTTGACAATGTGAAGGAATATCTATATAAGTATATATTACACATAGACCTCTTTTTATTCATTTCTGGATCTGGCAAATATGTATGATTCTATTAAAATGGCTCTAGCACAATGTTATGTCTTCCTCTTTGATTGTGCACTGTAACTAATTGTTGGTATGGGGAAGTATGCAACTCTTAAACACCTGAGTAACTTTTATAATTGGTGTCATGCACAAACATTTTGCCTGGTGTGTTGATATCAGATGCACTGCTTAAAATGGTCAAGATTTTATCTTTATTTTATTTATTTTAGATTTTATTTCCTTTTTATCTGCGGTCATGGTTCACATGAATACTTTTGCGTAGTGTGGCAAGACAGTCGTTTTGCTTAGCATAGCTTAATTAACACGTACATTACTATATGACCGGACTACCCTGTTTTTCAAGTTTTCTTGCCCATAGTGTGGTATCTGATTTGCCACAAATCTACACTTTTTTTTCTACAAAGACAGGAAAAAAGATTTGAAGCGTAATTAATATCTGAACAAAAGGGCGTTTTAGAATGTGAAAACCTGTAATTTTATGCACTGAACAGAAGGAGCCTCTCACAATTTTTCTACTTTTCTTACAAAAGCTCAGACTTCAAGAAAAAAAAACTTAACCATATGTTTTACCCTGCAGCCAACATATGCAGTTACATCTAATATTGCAAATATTTTTTTTTTCACAACCATTTCCTATTCATGATGCATGCCCTAGCAACAAGTTCAGATCTGAATAAAAGTACATGAAGTTATTTGCAACCAATCATTACTTTACTACTTGTTTAATATTAGTATACAATATCTGCATATTTCAAGCTCTATTAAAATACTTAATTTGCTTCCAACTGGGAAAGCGTAAATTTTTCAAGATATGCACCTAATTGAATACTTTCTGTCCTCCAGGCATACAGATATATTTGAGCACATATGTTGCTATATGTTCATTTTCTAATTATAAATTCATTGTTGATCCATGCTAATTTATTGTTTATAAAGAGAAAAAAATATTTTCGTGTGTCTGCCTGATAGACTTTAATTAACACTATGTTCTCCTTTCTTTCATGTTGTAGAGTGAATGCTGATTAATCCCTAATACTAGAACACTTTCAAAAGAGGAATGCTCAAATTATAACTTAGGGTTTAAGCCTTGGACTATCTATTCAACTATCTATCTATCTATCTATCTATCTATCTATCTATCACTGAGGTAATAATGACCTTTAAATTTGCCTCACAAAGCTCAAATATACTACTCATTACCAGCACAGTCATTACAGGGGGAATGACAGAAAGGCTCCCAGCAAGGCATGTTTTTTTCCACACTACTTGGAATTTTCATCCTTAACACTGAATAACAAGAAAAACTATTTATTCTTTCCTAATAATACATAACATACATAACATTGCCTGTACCAACTGGAAAACTCTTAAAAGAAAATAGTTTTCTTACAATTAGTATAATTTAAAAAAATCCAAAGTACTTTGAATTAAACAAAGCTTACTATTGATGAGAAATGTAATACTAATACTAATTATATTTTTAAATTTAAACTCAAAACTCACATGCCCACAGCTGTTCCACTTTAAATTTTATCTGATGAATTATTATGATGATTAAAAAAGGGCACAGCAAATAAATTATTAGTACTATTGTTATTATTATTATTACTATTACAAATTATACATTTGTCCCATTATTGGAAATGTATGCTGCCAGCAGCAAACAAAAGTGTTTCCTCTTTGGATGCTATTTATATCAAATAAATACATTTTGCAAGCCCTATTAGAATATTTTTATTCCATATACCAAACTGTAAATATTTGAAGTCCTATATAATTGTGCATCTCTAAATCCACATATAAACTGTACAGCAAGAATTCAGTTTGCAATACTAAATTATTTTTTTATATGTGCTAATATGTTATTGATATAAAAGGAACAAATGGATGCCTTTCTTGTTAAACACTTATTCAATAATGACTTTTCTAATGTATTGGCTGTATAATCATAATTTAGAATTGCTATTTATTATTTAGAATTAATTAAAATTATTGCAATATTCCAAAAATTTACCAAAAGGGGAATTTCGACAACAATTATAATAGTTAGCCTGCACAAAATAAGTAACATATTTTTTTCCTTTACATTTTTATCCCTAATGCTGTATAACAAACATTTTATTTGCTGACACAAAACATTTTTACAAAAAATGTTTAAATAAAAAATAAAAAAACTTTCTAAACAGAAACAAACCTTGGCATAGAAATAAAAGAAACAAATTCACACTTGGTGAAACACTTCAAGCCTCTGATTTAATTCCCTGTGTCATGAAATGGGTCTTTTAAAAAAGTGCAAAAGTAAAGCAATAAATAAGTACAAAAGTAGAGCAATATATTAATTTAAAAGAAAAGAATAAATGAACTAGAAAGTATAGAATAAAGGCTAGGAGGAAGGATAGAAGGATATAAAATGGAAGAACAATAAAGATTTCAGATATTTCTGGGAAGAGGTAAGCTTGAAAGCTGTTTTAAAACCTGTGGAGTGATTTTATGATCTAATAATACCATATATTGTACATAACATTGCCTTTGGCAAGTGACATTTTAACACATTCTAAAAATAAACATTTTGTTAAAATTAAAAAAGGCATTTACAGTAATTTAAAAAGTAATTTAAAATATAATAATTATATTCATACATAAGGTCTGACATTATAACAAAATGAAAATAATTATATATTTTTTTATTGAAAGCAAAATTAGGGTTCAAATGCGAAATGAACACTACAAATGCTCTGAAATATATCCTTGCTGAGTTTCATTTGAATAAACGTTCAATTACAAACAAAGGCTACTGCTTCACCGATTGTTTATACCATGCATAATAAGTGCAAAAATAACATTAAAAGACACACTACTACTAAAACATTGACTTTTTTATCAATAAAAATATTTTGAAACAAACTTTTTAAATAAAAGTTTTGCCAGTAAAAGCATTAATGTATATAAAGTAGAGGAACAATAAACATTTCAGATATTTCCGGGTAAAAGAAAGCTTGAAACTGATTAAAATGTTGATAGCCTTTGGGATAATGCGTATACATCTGCCCTTAGCAGAGGCACCTCCCGACTTCTAGGAGGTGGCTGGTGGCCAAAGGCTGCACAAGAGCTGGTCCCCCCTCACCCCTCCTTTTTGTATTCTTTTAAAGTGTACCGTATTGTATAGTCTCTCCTTTCACATTTAGCTGAGGTGTGAGAATATGCCAACAGGAGTTTAACGTTGATCAGATTCTTACAAAAAAAAAAGACATTCCACGTTCATCTTATGTTCATTTCAAACAAATATGGTAACGAAATAGTTACAACCTTGCAATGCAATACACTTCTCATTACACGTCCAGGGGTTTTAACATAAATAGCTTTATTTCTTATTAATTAAGCTTATTCCTGTGAAAATGCATTTGAATAATGGGCCTTTTTTGGAACACAAGAAAAGATGGAGAAAAGGAGAAAAGGTGGAAAAATATGGCCTTTTTGAGCCTCCTTAAGTGTCCAATTGCAGAACGGCATTAGTCCTGTGGCTCTAATTTAGACCCTGTCAGATGCTCTGTAAAGAACGATAGTGCAGGCGCATTCAGACCATCTGAGTTTGTGCAGTTATTTTGTTACAAGGAAAGTAGAGCTCCAGCGTAAGCGCTTGGGGGAAAAAGACTGAAGTCTCGTTAACTTTCTATTAGTATTACCGTGGGAGGAGGTGGAAGTATTTAGAGGACAGTTCCAAAGGCTGATCTTAAGCCTTATGCTAGGGCCACATAGGCTGACAGCCACTGAAAAGCAAAAAAAAGACTCATTCACTTTGCTTCAGAGGTTTACACCTCTGATAGCAAATAAAACTGTCCTATTTTTTTATTTATACATTACACATGTAATAGAATAAACTGTAAATGCGCTTGTTTTACTTTTGAAAAGTGAAGGTTAATCAGAAAAAAATTAACATTTGTTTAAACTTTGACATGTTGCCGAATATATCAGTAGAATTATTTTGCAATGAATGTTAGAGATCAACGATGAACAGATAAAAGCAAACCCTAAAAGGGTAATATTTGTATTTTGTCTGAATTGCATGTGTTTCTATGTAGGTTCTCTTATATTTTGAATATATTAAATATAAGAAAACCTATTGAATATATTAAATATAAGAGAACCTATTAAATATATTAAATTTAAGAGAACCTATGCGCAGGTTCTCTTATATTTTACATATGAAGATAAACAAAACATTTTTTAGTTTGCACATGTCAATTGCACACTAACCCCCTCATATATTTTCTGTTTGCATATGTTTAAGTCTAATCTACATCCCTCTAATTCTATACATGGTTTCTATTCATGGATTAACTGTATGGCTATGGTCACACAGGCACATGAATTTTTATTTGTAATTTACGTACAGTATATACTAGTACAATGTAACACAGAAAACTGTTAAACAAAACTAAATTGAGCTATACATCTACTAATATTAATGTTCCAAGTACTT